TTCCTAAAAAGATCGTAATGTCGTGATTCTTTTTCTACTTAAAGTATTGACTTACATTTTTGAACGTTCAGTTGCAGGCTTTTGTTACAAACAATATAGAACAAGCGAACTTTCCAAACTAATTTAACCAATGTCATTCATTGTCATTATTGCACTCCCAGCTTCAATTCTACTTTTGCTTGACGAAATAAATAAATAAAGGAATGCTGTGGTGATTGTGCATCACTTTTCTGCCAGACACCTACTAGTAATTTTCTACAATGTTGCAACGATAAACCATTTCGAATGAAGCTTTCTTCTGACTCTGTACCCGTGCTGTATTTCTCCGAATCACCACCAACTCCCCTATGAGTTAAAACCCTCTTTGACCACCCGCGTTAACTTTCTCGATAGTAAACAAACTGTTACTAAAACTTTAGGGCACACTCCAACCTTACTGCATAAAAGTAAACAGCTTGGGTATCGTAGCAGTGAGATTTCCCATCGCACCTTCCATAACTTCTCCGAGAGCATACTTCAACACGACATACGATTTGAGAGGATGAAAGTTTCACTTTGTGAAAACTACCATAGATTTTTCTCTCCGTCTAAAGAGAGACTGAAACTTTGGCAAAGATTAATCGTTATACAAGGAAAAGTTAAACAGGAATTACTTTTATAAATCGTCGATGAGCAACTGCGATGTAAATTGATTTTTGTATTTTCCAACAAGTTAGAAGTGAACGTACGAGTAAGTGGATATGTTTGAGGACATTTTAAAGTTCAATTGTTTTGGATAGTGAGACTAATGGCTGTTCATTCGTATTGCAATTCCATTGTTTAATTTGAGCTCTCCTTTCCGAATTCCGTAGGCTGATGTTTTTCCGGACACTGTCAGTATCATCCATTTACGCGGATGAAATTCTCCGGCTTCTACATCAACTGCAGAAACTATACCGACATGTTGGATGTCGATTATATTCACCTACTGTGAAGTAGTAGGGTACTTGTCTAAGTCTGTCTTCCGATAGCCGATTTGAATTTGTTTCACATCAATCGTGATTTAACTTATAAGCAATAAATGTGTTTTGTAGGATGTAGGATGTAGCTGTTCGTCTTTATTGTTTTTGACGCATATGACGAAGAAATGACATACCCTATGCACGGCATTTCAATGCAACTAGAAAACACATGACCATCAGTTGAACAAAGCCTCAGAATCTCCCGTTACGCTCACCTGTCCTGCATCAGGGCACACAAGCGGAAAATTAATCAATTTGCATACCATTTCAAAAGACATGCTGATTTGAGTGATTGGTGGCTACTTCATCCACACTGCCTGCAGGAAAGAGTTGTTGGTAAGTTAAGCTTATCACAGTACGTTTGCAATGGCCCATGGTAAAAATTGGCAAATGGTAGGATTTCAATAATCCCAATTAAACTTGAATGTAAATGTAATTCCATCTCCTCAGAATCTCCCGGAGCTGTCCATATTTATACCACGTGGACATTTTAGGGGCGATGGGGTTAGAAAATGTCCCCCGCCCATACAATTTTTCAAAAAATATATGGATGATTGTCCATGTAGAAGGGGTGGTCTAAAACCCCTCCAAAATTATCCACGTGGTGATATGGATAGCCTTATGATGTATTGTGGAAAAAAAATCTACGTACACGGTCATAGATTCTGACTCACAATTAAGCTCAGTGTTGATAAAACCACGGTTACTCATAGACTGGATTAATGTCTGCTCGAATATGCGTAAAGGTCGCTCATACCCCGAGTAGTAGAAAAAAACTAATGAATACATAATTCTGACCTCAGTGTTCACTCGGCTGTCGACAGAAGCAGACCACTCTAAATGTGTGTCACGCGATCGTCTGTTTACTCGGCAGCAACCATTGTGTGGTCCTCCTCATTGTTCTTCATCAGCAGTTCTTTCGGTCGATGCGTTGTCGACTTTGCAAAGCAACCGTTTCGTGATGAATGTGTGAGTGCTGACCACGTTTTGCGTCCATTGTTGCAATGGAAGCGCTCTGACCTTCGTTGGCCAATCTGCTATACAAGTAAACCACTGGAAGCGGCTCCCGTTCTGGTGGAGGAGGTCTATTGGATAGCGGAAGTTTTAAGATGTATTTTATAGTGAACAAGAATCCTCGGCTCTGTAAAGTTAATTCGGTTGAGCCTTATCAAATAAATTAATAAAAATAACAATAATTCTGACCTGATACCAAAATTTGGTATTGATCAGCATGATTTAAAAGGTAAAATACCAAAGAATAATACCAAAAAATACATGCAAAATATCGAGATATTCGTTCCTGCTCGGAAGTTAATCAAATTTTGATTCAAAATTAGAGGAGGAGAGCAGAAACGGATATCTCGATACCCTTAACTGATATAGATTAGCCTGACATAAGAGGTAAAATATCAAAAAATAATACCAAACAAAATATTCCCACAATACCTTTCCAATACCATATTATGCAAATGCAATACCAAAACAATACCACACAAGTATTCTTTTGGTATCTAAATAACAATTTTTGTTATTTACAAAGCATTTTTCTATCAATTTTGTTGCTATTATTCGATTGTATTTTACCTCTTATGTCAGGCTGATTAACACCAAATTTTGCTATCAGGTTTAGAATTAGGTATTCATATGTTATCTTCTCCTGCTGAATACCTTGTTCTGAGCTGAAACCAAAATTTGATATTGATCAGCATGACATAAGAGGTAAAATACCAAAGAATTGCATGCAAAATACTTTGTAAATAACAAATATTGATATTTTGATACCAAAAGAAAACCTGTGTGGTGTTGTTTTGGAATTGCATTGGCATAATTTGGTATTGGCATGGTATTGTGGGACTATTGTTTTGGTGTTTTACCTCTTATGTCAGGCTAATTCATACCAATTTAAGGTATCGAGATATTCGTTCCTGCTCGGGTATACACACTTAGAAAAAATCATTTGAATTGAGGAGCTCTGAGACTGACATATATGAGCACCAATTTTGACCAGTGTCTGTTTTTATCATTTACGCAAAGAGTAGCACTTCAACCCAGTGTAGATGAATTGCGTTTGTTTTGAAAATCTTCACTGTCACGTACGAGCGAAATGAACAAAAGCAAAATAATCAAATTAACGTTGGGTAAAATGATTATTTTGAATATTGTCGACCTCATTGTCTAAATCCCCGATATTATCGTCAATTCAGCATGAGGTAATAATTTGCCATCGATCTGTGTGTAAAAACCAATACGACAGAAGAATTTGCATAAAATAATTTTTTTTAATTATTATAGTCATGGGTCATTCGTGACTTGTCCGCGGGTGAGATTTGAACTCGTGACTTTAGCGTGAAAGGTAACCACTACGCCGGGGTCGCCCCCTGCATTAAATTAAAATATTAATTTTGTTTTTGATCCTCAAAAGCATCCTCACCAAGATAAAGACGAATATTAATATTGAGAATAACAGAGGCGATAATAAACTTCCAGCCGCGAATGAAGACAAACAAATGTTGACTTCGATACTCAAAGGTTGCCTTGATCAAGAGAATGTTGTGAATGTCAAAATAAAAATTCATGCAGGTAAGTAGTCTATCTGCTTAGGTTGTCTTAATTTTCAGCTAAGTTCAGTGTGAAGATATGATTTTTATCAGCACTGATATTGACATAAAATTGAGTCATAACAGGCGCAAAATTCAACTCAACCTACCTAACTAATGAAAATCAAATTATGACAATGCATTAATGTGCAGTCTTCACCAGTGTCATTCCCACTAAAGAGCTTATCAAAATCTAACCCCCTTAAGTACTCATCCCATAGGTAAAAAAAAATCTTGACTTTTTTACCTAGGGGTTCTTAAGGGGGTTGGATTTTGTTTTATTTAAGCATTCCGCTAACAACCCAACTCCATTACTTCATTATGATGGCTACCAAGCTTTTGGGATTTTCCTTATGTGAGAGTTGAATAGATTTTTCTCCTTTAGTTTACTTAAATCTTTGGTTTTTATTAGTTAGGTAGGGTCTGATTCAACACATTGTACTTTAATTTTAATGCCTGTGATCTTGACTTTTTTTTACCTAGGGGATGAGTACTTAAGGGAGTTAGATTTTGATAAGTGCTTTAGTGATGAAGACTGCACATTGTAGTCGAAATACGTATCTTTCATGGATACCAAAATTAATTAAGTTGAGTTAAATGGAAGATAACCTTTTTGCTGTTTTATTTAAGCATTCCGCTAACAACCCACACAGATAAAAATTCTGAATTTTAATTGTGATGTAAACATTCATTCACGTAGACTTGTATTTCATATCACGCAACCAAGCAACTTGCAAACAATGTTGTTTACAATGATGGGATTTTGTATACAATATTTGCTACATTGCATGAAATGTGTCAGAACTTTACATGATATATAATGTAAACGTATATGATATGTGACGCTCCATTTATGTGCATCATATTGAACAGAAATTTACACTTCTTTTTCGAACCGTGCAATTTCATTACTTCACAGTGTTTAGAATTAATTATTTTTAAGTGTGTAATTTTCAACGAATTTTCTTGGTTCACTTATTTCTTGCCACTCTTAATCTCTTATTTGTATTAATTCATTTCCAAGCTCCTCTTCCAACACAGTGTGCCTATTCAGTAGTAAGGGATTCTGGGATAAAATGCACCCATGGGGCAAAATGACTGATTGGCCCTGTTTTGGCATTTAAAATTCCGGGTTTACTTCGTTTTCAAGGATCTGTGAATCAACACTGCAAGTTCAATGTCTCAACTAACAATGCTGCTAGATAAATCCTCGAAAATGGTTTGGAAATGTATTGAAAAGAAGCGTAAAGTTATTTATCCGAGGGTTCATTTTATCCCATGTTCCCCTAGATGAACCCGACCGTAGGAGGCCTAACGTTTTCCGCACTCACTAGCTGATGATGAACTAAGTGAGCCGCTGTTTTTACAATACGTCAATCCCATCAGGGAATATTTGGATTACCTGTAGAATCCTCGTGTCTGTGTACGACTCAGCTGATACCTGTTGACTGACGTACACCAAGGTTGTCACCAGCGACCACAGCCACAGAGTGGCTTTCATGTTTCTGCAAAAAAAGGGAATAGAAGAGAAAAATTTAGGGAAACGATCCAGTAAGTACACGCTATCTCTAGGTAGGGGACTTTTCGGCCAGGGTGATGGTTTGAAAATTAATTAATTGCATCGAGTTTTTCGAATGATATAAAGTAATTAAAACCGGGACCGGTCGAACCCCATGTGGCATCGATTGTTGTTTTACTGACAGGAATTGGGAGGTTACGGGAAGGATGATCAGATTAGCCTACATTGAAAAGCCGATTTAATTAATAGACCGTTCAGTACCTGCTGGTTTGTTATTTTGTTGATGTTGTCAATTAGTGTAATATGCGGGTTAAATATTGTTGTTACTCCAAATGATATGATTATGCTTACTTATTTTGTTATGAATAATTGATTACGATAGCGTCTCTATGATTGCCAATGCAAGAAATGGGTGGGAGGCAACCAAAACGAGTTTCTATTTTGAGACTTTTTAATGGATGAAATGTAAATCAAATGCAAAGAGGAAGGGTACAATGGGCGGGCACATAAATGCTGGACAACAACCTCGAAAAATGATGTTTGCCGGTATTATACGCAGAGCAGCTCAGTGAGCTAGGTGATTAAACCAAGAGCTAGGAAGTGTGACTGGAGCTGAGCAGTTATGCACTGAGTTAGGGAGTTGGCGTGACATTGTCCAGCAGGCCTAATCCAGCGCTAAAGTCGAAAACAACATCTCAAAATATGATAACATTCATTCCTATACAAAAAAAAACTGAAAATAAAAATAGATGTTTCTTAAAAAATGCTACTTTTGAAAGTTATGATACTTTATTTTTTTCTAAAAAGACATTTAAACTATCTACAAGTCGCCCATATATTGACGCATGGGCACTCTTATAGAGAAAACAACAACTTTTTCAGACCTGCTCTAAAAAAACAAAGTGCTTTGAAATGAAATTCAAGCGCTCAGATTTCTTTCAGCGCAAATAAGAACAACTTTTTTTTTTAGTATTTTTTTTTTCATTATAAATACGATAAATGTTTTCGAAAACTACAACATTTTTTTTATTTGTTCATTTCATTTAACCTAGGTGCTCCAGCTACTGCAGTAGCTTACCAGCCTTAATTATTTTAATATATATCTAAAGGTGTCTACATTGTTCCTGCCTTGGCAATTTAGTATTTTAAACACGTTTTTTAATATAGTTGAAGATGCTAATTTCAAATAACAGACTAAAGAGGTAATTTTTATACGATAGATGAGAAGGAGAAAGTATAGAATTGATAGTTCCGTTTAGAGTACGACAGTGTGAAAATTGCATGTAGAGAGTAGACAGCGAGCTTAGGGCAACTTTTAGGAAGGTACAAATCGGTTTTATCATCTCTCTTTACCAAACTCCCCCTTTGGAGAGGGATGGTGAGGGGTGCACCCCCCGCGCCACCACTGGCAAAAAGAGATGATCGCCAACCTCTCAAGTACCAACGGTGTGTTTGAAACAGTTCTTACCACTTTAGTCTGTTATTTGAAATTAGCATCTTCAACTATGTAAACCGTTGACTTCACGCAGAAGTAATACTAAACATATAGTCAAAGGTTTTTTAAACCTGCATGTCAGTATAACAATTGAAATCAAAAAACTAAAAACTAAAACTAAATCTTATTTTATTATAAAAGGAATTAATCGTTGCAATTGAGGATTGCGACGATTTTTGCCTGAAATTATTAATTATTTTGTTGGATATTTGTTCTAAAGTCTCAACATTCGAAATTCTATGTACCTCGGTAGCACTGTACCAGGGAGACAACTTCAAAATCATCTTCAGAACATCGTTCTGATTCCTTTGAAGTGCTTTTTGACGTAGGACTACGTCTTTGATTTCTATATGAAGGTACACTTTGTGAAAACCGAAAATGGAACATGTAACAAATTAAGAAAGATTTTGAACATTAATAACTCAGCTGCCCATGGTCCAATTTCAATAATTATCACCAATCGATCAGAAATATGGCTACGCATCGATAACAATGCTTTCAAATGTTGATTTTCAACAAGAAACTATTGAAAAACTGGTAAATGTCCAGCATTGTCCAACAGTGTCGAATTAACTAACAAATCCCAGCACAGTCGTCAGAGAGTAGTAAGTAGACGAAACAAGTCGAAGCGGCATTCGCCTCCGATCCTCGGGTGCGTGCGAATAGGGAGGATGGAATTGCGTAATATTTTGCACACTCATCGCCATATTCAGAACCAAACGCAAATTCTTCGAGATAACTACCATCGATCGCGTGTTCTTTGATATTGCCTTGACATTTTACAGATGGATCAAGAGCTGAAGATCGTCGTCTATCATAATTGAATCGAATTTAACCTCGCATGTTGGTACTGCGGCAGCTCTTGCTTCAACTATAGAAATAGTCAGAGATTCAAGAGCATAAATAATTTCATCTTTGGTTTGCAAAGGAATGTTTGGATCGAAGTTATATTCCATAATTGTTCGATATTGCTCCCAGCTCTATGGTAATTGAAAGTAGAGCTGTTGGGATTGGAAATTATTTCTTGGGATATTACAAATGTTACTGGAAGGTGATCAGAACCGAAGTCAGCATGGGTAACCATTTGGCTACAAAGTCGACATGAATCAGTTAAGACCAAATCAATAGTTGAGGGATTTCTTGCTGCAGAAAAGCATGTTGCGCTATTTGGATATTGAATAGTGTAATAACCTGCAGAACAATCATCAAACAGAATATTATCATTGAAATTGCTTTGAAAATTATTCCATGAGCGGTGTTTTTTTAAACCTATGACGGGAAAGTTTCTGATGGTCTCCCTTGAGAAAATTATTTTGTTGACCTGCGCATTGGAATGGCAAACAAGCAGCTATAACCGTAAGTTGCCCAAATTTTTTTTCGACAGAAACTCCCAAAGTTTCAAAAACTTTGGTTTCAAACGAAGAAAGAATTTGATACGTTCATGAACAATGATGGCAACGCCACCACGATCATTTCGATAAATGAAATAATTTGCGTCCCTTTTAACCTTATGGTCACGTTTAAGGAACGTTTCATTTATAACGGCCATATGCACGATATGAACTCTCAGACAGCTAAATAGCTCGTTCTCATTATCTTTAAGTGATCGAGCATTCCAATTCAAAATATTTATTGATTTAAAATCCGTTACAAAATTTCAAAGTCATGATGATATTGTTCGCAAATTTTACTCCAGTTTGAATAGCATCAAACATGGAGTTAGACTTAAGCATATTTGTGGTTTTCACCATAATTTGAATATCTAAATTTTTAGGATGTTCTTTCACTTTACAGTCATCTTTTACGTGATAGGAATCACCACAATTAATGTATTTAGTTGGCATGTAGCAATTTTAGATCCGTGACCCCATCCCTGACACTTACGGCACTGGATGAGGTTTTGGAAATTTCTTCCAGCCTTTCTGGAGTGTTCCCACTTTAATCGGACATAGAGCGTAAAACTAGCTTTTTCTAAGACCTTAAGGTTGTAAATTAGACTTAAAATGAACTAAATAAAAATCATTGGAAATCCCGTTGCGTGAATCGCCAGGACGGGATTTCGCTTTCATTTTGATTAATTGGACAGGCACAACTCCAAGTAATTTTGACAATTCATCTTTGATCTGATCCAGGGATTCACCACTGGGCAGTCCTCTCAAGACAACCTTGAACAGCCGTTCAGTTTTGGCGTCGCCGGCAGGAGAGCACGATGCGGACTGAACACCACAACACTCCTTAATCATAATGAATGCCGTATTTCCGAATGCCGTGCGAAACATCTAAATCTCAATTTTAGATGATCGGAAAATCTTGTTTCCTGCATCTTAGATAAACGCGATAAAATATTTAGAAAAATCCAAACATCCCATTTGACCGTAATAACTGGGATAGTCACCATTAAAGCTTTCAAAAACTCAAACACCCCTCAAATCACGATTCATGCCGGATGTACGAAGATAAATACGATTAAAGATTTCGAAGACCTAAACATTCCTGAAATCACAAAAAAATGCCGTATTTACAGAGAAAAATCCATCATCCCGACATCTTAGAGAGATGCAATAGGGTGGTTTTGCGTGCTGTACCATCATCAATATCAGTTGACTGCTACTCCCGACCTGAGTTAATACATTCAATCAGTGTTTGTTACTTCACACAAGAAAATCGACAATCTACAGCGTCACCTAGAGCTGCAAATGTGAAACTGGCTCGTTCACCTATCCATAAACTAATTATATGGGTAAATATGGGGTAAGGTGTTGGCGTTTGTTTAAAGTTCCTACAGTTTAAATAATCGTTAAATCGGCTATCTACTTAGTATGTGGTTGATTTCTCGATTTATAAAAACTAAAACTTTGACGATTTTGCGCCACTCATGTCCAATTTAGCCCAAATCGTTCACAGGGTCTTTTTCGAGGTAATAAACATTTTGCATGTGGTCGGTTTTGTAAAAATTCAAGATGACCATTTCTAGATAAACATTTCAAAGGGTCGTGTCATCATTGATCGATTATCTGCATCAACTTTCACTTTTGTTAATAGCTCAGCTGCAAAACCTTTCCCTGCTGTATTTGACGTTTTGGATGCTGGATGAAAATCTCATATATCAAACTATGTGGTAAAAATAACGCGAAAGCTGTTTGCATAGCAGTGGATATCAAAAGAGAAAGTCGATCAAGAGAATCAATCAAAGCAGATGAACCTTTTGAACTGTTCATCGACATTTTCATTCTCAGTTAACATTAGTAATCCTATTTATAGAGATTCGCGGAAGCGGCCACTTTGAGCCAATCGAGCAGCGAGAACTGTCAAACAAAATGTGAGCCAAACGAGCATTCTGATTAGACAATATTTAGAGGACTTCTTATTGAGTTGAAAGGTATTGTAATCGGGGTGAAGTAAATTCAAACAAAACGTTTATAAATAAAAAAAAATACATAACCGTAAAATACGTATGTTAACATTAACTCTCATGAGAGTTTTAAGCATAA